GATAACCTGCTTTTTAATTTGGCATTTTCGTTTATAATATATAAGGATACTTAAATTTCAATTGTGAAAAGTCTATTTAAAAATAGTCATTTTTGTACTCCTCTTAAGTAAAATTAATTAATTTAGTAGAGTCCCGCATGCGTTGTAAAAATCATCTCTGAGCAGTTCGTGTCACGCCCAAACTCGCGTCACGCGCCCACCTCTAAGTGAAGGCAGGCGACAACAACAAAGCGGAGACGACGCCGGCAGAGGCTACGGCAGCGCAGCTTTTTAACCTTAGCTGCCTTAACACTTTTTTTGCCATTCAATCGCCAAACGCCGCTCACCTCACACTTACACCTTTCCACCTCCGCCGCTTATTTTGTTTTTATTAGTTATCGAATGAGTATTGGCCGCAACGCAAAAGGTGAACCGCTGCGAAGGAAATAAAAGCTCTAAATCACATGCGACCCATCCACGCCGCCGGCGATTCGCGTGAGCGTTTGTGAGTGAGTGACCCATTTTGGCCATCGCCTCGCCCGCCGGTTCTTGCTGTGTTCTTGGTTCTTCGTTCCCCGTTCCCACGCCCACGCCGCCGGACAGCGAGAGATCCCACCGAAATCACTGCCAGACCGGGCCAAAAATGAGCAGCATCACGTTTTTGTGCAGCAAGTCGGCCCACAACAACAACAACAATAGCAGCAGCAGCGATGTGCCAAAAGCGACCTCAGCCTTTGCAGCCGCATCCGCCGGTTTACTAACCATCGCCACCCACCAACAGCTGCAGCCACAACCACCACACCATCAGCAGTCAAAGGTTAAGGCTATAGCAGCCAAAACCAATGGTCACATGTAATTCATTGCATTTTCCTCATTTTAAACGTAAAAAACCAATCGAAATCCCATTAAATATGTGCATACATTCATTTGTGCATGACTTGTATGTGTGTATGTGTATTTGAGTGCCCTTTGTTGTTTTTGTTGTCTCATTTACCGCCATTCTAATTGTTTTGGTGCTGCGCTTGTTTGTCCAGTACTCTCGTTTCGCCCCGTCTCTGTCTGTCGTTTCCAGTGTTTAATTAACGCCAGCGCTTTTGTGTTTAACATTGTTTATCGAGTCTGCGGTGCGGCAAATAACAACAAATGACGAAAAGACGATAGCGTCAGCAAGTGCGCTCTCGATTCTCCAACATGGCTGCGATCCGCACACACAGAAGCCACGTCTATCGCTTTTCGCCAGTTTGGGAGTTCTCCGCTCCCTTTCGCTCCTTTCCCCACACATCCTGCACCCGCTCTCACCTGGCATCCTGCTGCCGTCCCTCTCCCACCCGCCTGGGGAGCCGTAACCTGTTGGTCGCCTTTTTCGGAGCGGGAAGAACGCAGCACAGCTCACGTGGCAGTTGCTGCGCTCTCCTCCTTTCCTCTCCCCTCTCTCCTTGCGCTGCAGAAACTATAAATATGCTGAGGAATCTCGCCTCTGGCGTCACCAGATTATTGGCCCTACACAGAGAGAAAATCCAGCTTGCATACAAATTATTCAAGCAATGACAATGAAACATTCCTTAAACCTAGCAGATAACAAAATGAAATTGTCCTAAATATTTAACACATTTGCATAAAAACTTTCCCAGCAAGAACCAACTTTGTAAAGTAGCGCAAGTTAATAACACTAATATTTTTAAAATGGTACGTTGGCATTTCTCCACTTTGAATTTAAATTCTTTAATCTTTAACAAATTCAGGGTCTTAAAACAGGTTCAAAGCCTACCGATGACCCCTAAGCTTTTACACATTTTTGATTTGATTATACAACAGTTTATATTCAATTTGCATTTTTTCTACCTTTATAATCATATATTATAAAATCCTCAGTAATCACGTGTAGCGTACTTTTTTTTTCCTGTGTGTAATTTTTTTTCGGCACAGTAATGAAGAGCAGAAGATACAGAGAAAGGTGGAGAGAGAGAAAGAGAGTGCAACGAACGCGCCTACGCAGCATCCAAAAGATGGACTGACCGTCTAGCAATGCTTTGTCTGCCTCCCTGTGTACCCATATTTTACTTGTGCTGCTTCCCAGAAATGTATATTGAGTGTTTTTGCATGTACTTGGCACAAAGAGTAGTCTGCATTATTTTAATGGCCAAAAACGGCCGGAAAGGATATTCGGTTCTCCGTTGGGTCACGTCATCATTTTCCAGTGCACATGGCGGAAACCCCCAACCAAAATATTTCTATATGCATATGGAAGTGATATGGCACATTATTGAAAGTGGGGTGTGTCAGTAATCTGAATCCAAATTTTATTCATTTCTGATTTTAATATTTAGCATTCCTGTTCTTGACCTTCTTAAGGGAAAAACGGATAAGTAACTTATCTAAAAACCACTTGACAGTATTGGTAACATATTTAACCATACAAAATTAACATCACCCTGATGCCCGTATAGTATTTCATACAAAATCGTTAAATTTTCCATATAAAATCACTGGATCTTCTTGCAATACTTTCTCCAGATTAAAATACCGTAAAAATACATTATCTGTCCTCATTCCGCGTTACAAAAGTATTAACCTTTTAATATTAGCTTTGTTATCTTCCATCACCGTCAATTAAGGCCTTAAGTAACTCTTCTATTTATAGAACATATTGAACAGTAGATTAATTTGGCGTTGGCGATATGTCTGGTCCCATGCGCTTGTGTGTGGGAGTAAATAAGTGTAGATAGAGGGGGGCTTTTAAAGTAGAGTAGGTCAGTGAGTATACTGCATCCTTGAACTCTCTGCTTTCAGCTTGCACTGCCATACCTACCCTTTAGCGATTTCACTAACGAACAGTAATCTATATTATGTACCTATAAAAATAGTTACAATTATTGTGAATTTAATCGGTGGTGATAAAGACGTTATCGTGACTAATCACTGATTTCCACATATTTTAGTCGTAATTAAACGTCATCGTTGTATGGTGGGAGTGTAGATTTGGTAAACGGCAACTAATCTGTGTATACATACTACTTGCAGCGATGAACGTTCGGATGCCACAGAGCCCCTCTACGTGGATCCATATGCCGACCAGAGCAATGGCCTTCCCGGGGAGCTCAACTGCTGCCCGGCCTCGCCCACTACAGTGCCTGCAAAAGCGTCGCTGGAGTCCCCGCTGAAACGTTCCGGAAGGAGGCAGCGAACCACATCTATTGGCAACCAGACCACCACAGCGAATCCGTCCGAATGCATCATACGCGCCAACAATCGCACGATCTACACGGCCGGACGTCCGCCGTGGTACAATTGTGCCGGGCAGCAGGTTGAGCCCTTTGTCATAGGTGAAAATCTGAACTACAAAAATCTTTCCAGTCCCTAAAATCATCTATATCCCATAGGAATCTGCGGAGGAAGTGCCTCTGGCAAGACCACAGTGGCTGAAAAAATCATCGAGAGCCTGGACGTTCCCTGGGTGACGCTCTTATCCATGGACTGCTTCTACAAGGTGAGGGAATAGTTGAGGTAATTAATAAGGAACCTGAAGTAATGGTCTTACTTATGTCCTTTAGATCCTGAATGAGAAGCAGCATGAACAGGCCCTGATCAACGAATACAACTTTGATCACCCGGATGCCTTTGACATCGAGCTGCTGCTGGATGTGCTTACCAAACTGAAGGAAGGACGAAAGGTGGAGGTTCCTGTATACAATTTTGTGACACATGGCCGGGAGAGCCAAACGAAAACCATGTACGGAGCCAATGTGATCATCTTCGAGGGCATCCTTACCTTCCACAGTCCTGAGGTACTTAAACTGCTGGACATGAAGATCTTTGTGGACACAGATCCGGATATTCGCCTGGCCAGGCGGTTAAAAAGGTTTGTGATGGTTCTATGCTTCCCCAACTAAACTATAACATCAATTTTAAATTTCAGGGACATCTCACAGCGCGGGCGCGACCTAAAGGGCGTGCTGAAGCAATACCTGAATATGGTGAAGCCCTCGTATTGCAACTACATAGCTCCAACAATGGCTCATGCGGACATCATTGTGCCTCGTGGTGGCGAGAACAAGGTGGCCATCCATCTCATCGTCCAGCACGTTCATACACAACTCCAGCTGGTGAGGATTATAAGTGCCTGGCTGTAAACCTAGGTTAATCTCTCCCTCCGTATTCCAGCGTGGATTCAAGCTGCGCGAAACGCTGGCCAATTCCTACAAGGACCAGCCTATGCCCCATTCTCTGCACATGCTGCACCCCACGCCACAGATTAAGGGGCTGCACACGTTCATCCGCTGCCGAAATACGTCCCGCGATGAGTTCATCTTCTACTCGAAGCGCCTGATTCGGCTAGTCATCGAGTATGCTCTCAGTCTGTTTCCTTTTAAGAAAACCACCGTAGAGACGCCTCAGGGTGTTCTTTACGAGGGCAAACGCATGGAATCGCGCAAAATCTGTGGCGTCTCCATTCTCCGTGCTGGTGAAACTATGGAGCAGGCCGTGTGCGATGTGTGTAAGGACATTCGCATAGGAAAAATCCTTATCCAGACCAATCTGAAGACCGGCGAGCCGGAGCTTTACTACCTGAGGCTGCCCAAAGACATAAAAGACTACAAGGTTATACTAATGGACGCCACCGTGGCCACCGGAGCCGCGGCGATGATGGCGATTCGGGTGCTGCTGGATCACGACGTGCCCGAGGACAACATCATCCTGGCCTCGCTGCTTATGGCCGAGATCGGTGTGCACTCCATTGCCTATGCCTTCCCTAAGGTGAGATTGGATTCCCCTCCTCAAGGCATAGATCTTAACCCTGCTATTCCTTATTTTTGCAGGTGAAAATTGTTACTTCCGCTCTTGATCCGGAGATTAATAGTAAGTTTTATGTTATACCCGGCATTGGCAACTTTGGCGATCGCTACTTTGGCACGGAGCCCTCCGATGAGTACTGAGGAGATCCATACCAAGCCGCAACCACACCACTATGAAACCATCATGTTTCTTATGTATCCTAGGTTAAGTTCAAAGCGTTACTTAAATTATGAATTCGGATCGAAAGTTTGTTTTATTGAAGTAGCTAAAGAAACCGTAAGAGCAGTTGAATCAGGAAAGCCAGACCTCCCACTACTAGGGCAATGCCCACATAGCGCTGGATCAGCTGTTCCCGGCTCCTGGTTTGGACGTGGACCTCTGGTACCTCCTGCTTTTTTGCACATCTCGTCCAATCCCGTTCGTCGTCCAAAATCTCTCCGACCATGCTGAATTTGCTGACGCTGGTGATTCGCACATGGACACGAGTGCCCAACAGATTTTCCCGCATGGGTAGCAGTACCTGCTCGTAGCTCTTGTTGTGGCCCACATAGTGGAGCTTGTCGTGGGAAACTTCTGTGACCAGAACAGTGTATATTTCACCCACTCTTTCCGCATATGGTTCATAGCTGTAGAAGAGATCTGTGAGTCGTTTGGTTCGCTTCTTCACCAGGTTGGCGGGTATGCGCTCCATTTTAGCAGCTGGCGTGCCCGGACGCGGGAAGAACTGATTGATGAACAGGCTGGGAAAACGGTACTTGGCGCACAGCGTCATCGTCTCCTCGAAATCAGCCTCGGTCTCGGTGGGGAACCCACAGATGATGTCAGTGGCAATGGTGACGCCGGGTACACGCTCTCTCAGAAAATCCACGACATGCTCGAACTCTTGCCGACAGTACTCTCGTTTCATCTCGCCCAACACGGAGTCGCTGCCACTCTGTAACAAAAATCTTTGATTAGGCAATTAAAACTATAGACCTGTAAGTGGATCCTAACCTGCACGGGAACATGCAAAAAGGAGTAGACTCGAGGGTGCTGCAGCACCTTAGCCACCTCCTCAAGGTGCTCCAAGATATAAGGTGGATTGGTCATGCCCACACGCAGCATGCAGTGCTCGGGAATCACTTCCACCAGTTGCCAGAGCAACTCCGGCAGAGAGCTTCCTATATCCCGACCATAGGCTCCAGTATCCTCGGACGTTAGCCAGATCTCACAGCATCCCTCGGCGAAGGACTGACGGGCGCGCTCTACAACCTCCTCTGGCGGGTAGCTGGCTAGATCGCCGCGGGCATGCTTGGTTTTGCAGTAGGTGCACTGGTTCAGGCATCCAGAGTTGATGGATATGATCTCGATCAGCGGATTCTTGCGCACCTTGGGCAGCGAGAGAGCAGCTCCAGCCACCCGGCGACCGTGAACCTTTTTCTTGTTCTGCAGCAGCTGGACGCTGTGACCCTTAAGGGTCTCCTCAACGACCTCCACCACCCGATCGATCTGCTGGACACCGATGATGGAAAGACCGTTTAGGTATTCAGATTTGGGAGCTCCCTGGGGGACGCAACCGGCGACCACGACGTGCTTGCCATTCCGCATGCCTGACTCGATCTCGTTGCGGAACGTGTCCTCCGAGGGATTCTTAACCGTGCAACTATTGAGCAGCCACAGATCCGCCTCCTCCTTGCCGCTCAACCTGTATCCGTAGGCAGCCAGCTGACCGGCCATGTACTCCGAGTCGGAGTTGTTGTGGGCGCAGCCCCATGTCTTCACAAAGACCTTCTGCGTGCCGGGTATCACACTCTCGTGGATCGTGGGCTTGGGTTTCTCCTCCTCCTCGGTTTCTGGCCGGACTTGGATGCGTTTCTTGGCGCGCACTGTCACACTCTTCTTGTTTTCGTATCGCTCCCGTGGCTTCACATCGTCTGCGGATATCAGATCCTCGATGTCGTCCACGTCGTTGCCCGGCAGATCCTGTCCAAGGTGGTACATGATTGAGTCGTATCCTGGTTTTGGAGTCGCCGATTCCAAGAAACATGTGCACCACCCCCAGCTGTTTACATTCGTGCTTCCTCTTCTTCAGTTCATTAGTGTTGCAAAGTGCGGAGGGTGGGCTCTCGATAGGTGAAATCGATAACCGGTTCAGTTGCACCTATCAAGACACCCTACAGTAGGGGTGCTCAACGCTTTGACTCATTTATTTTATAATTGCTTGTCAACAACACATTCATTAATGCATGTGTCGGACTCTGTTTTTTAATTAATGCTAGTACGTGCATATCAATTAGGTATATTTAAGTATTATTTCTCTACCACATTAGTATTTTGCAATTTCTTTAAAATAACATATAAACCCTTACAAAATGTAAATTTTTGTTAGGCAAAACAAGAAACGTACAGAATATTTTACTATTTTAAAAATTCAGTTAAAATTATTAATTATTTTTGTACATCATAACTTTTTACTGAAGAAATGAGCATAAGAAAAAAATATATTACCTTATGTTTGAGGAAACATATATTTTATTAACATATAACGGAAATTTAAATATGGTAGCTATTCCCAGAAAAGTATCTAATTTATTAAAACTATTTCGTACTCACAAATAACTTGATTGAATTGAATCAGCTTAATTACACACCCACAGTGCCCAAGCAAGTGTCATTTCCAACATGCCCGAGCTTTTGCGGCTTGTGCACCCTACCGTGTAGACACACAGTTATCAGTCGCTATCAGCGGGAACATTCTACTCTGCTCCAGACCGCCAGACCGCCGCCACAGCAGCCTCCAAAAGCACAATCCACTCCGTCGCTAGCCATGATTACGATTAAGTGTAAAGACACCAATCTGGATCCCCTTCCGATCAAGGTGAGTTTAGTTCACGGCTTTCCAAAATTGAGCAAACACTTCAATGCCAAATTTTACAAACCCATTCCACAGATTGGGATCATTGGCGGATCGGGACTCGACGACCCCGATATCCTGGAGCATCGCCAGGAGCGAGTGGTGGAGACGCCCTACGGAGAACCGTCTGATGCCCTGATCGAGGGCGAAATCAACGGAGTCCAGTGCGTGCTCCTCGCGAGACATGGCCGCAAGCACGACATCATGCCCTCCAATGTCAACTACCGCGCCAACATCTGGGCTCTGCGCGACGTGGGCTGCACCCACCTGATTGTGTCCACGGCCTGTGGCTCCCTGCGCGAGGAAATCAAGCCGGGCAACCTGGTTGTGCCACACGATTTCATCGACAGGACCACCAAACGCCTGCAGACCTTCTACGACGGCAAGGCACAAAGTCCACGTGGTGTTTGCCACCTGCCTATGTTTCCGGCATTCAGCGAACGCACCCGCAACATTCTGCTTGAGGCGGCCAAGGAACTGGATATTCCCACCCATCAGAAGGCCACCATTGTGACAATTGAGGGTCCACGCTTTTCCTCCCGCTCCGAGAGCCACATGTTCCGCCAGTGGGGCGGGGATCTTATAAACATGACCACGTGCCCCGAGGTGGTGCTGGCCAAGGAGGCTGGACTACTCTACGGATCGGTGGCCATCGCCACGGACTACGACTGCTGGCGCATGGGCTGCGAGGGGGTCAACGTGCAGGATGTGCTCCGCACTTTTGCCGAGAACGTCATCAAGGTGAAGAAGATCCTTGTGAATGCCGTGGGTAGGATTGCCAAGGAGGACTGGTCGGAGGACATACTAAATGCCAAGGTAAGTGAGGCGAGATACTTATTTTAATGTGCAGTACATGATGAGAACTTTTTATAGCAATGTGTTTGCGACAACACCATGTCTGGAGCCATGTGACGTTTTATTAAACTGTGCCACGATATAACCGAAGAAACGCTGATTCGCCGCAAGATATATGTTCCACCGTTCTATCAACAGTTCCACAAAAAGCGTGGACCCAAAGTCCACTCCATATCCATAACGTACGAATTAGACCCGGAGGATTCCAGGCAGCCGCCGGTGGTTAAAACTCCATTCAAGTGTGAAACTGTGACGTCTGCCTCAGCGTCGCAGTAAACGATATACATATGTAACTACAGATATTTCCTTAATCAAATGCAAACTAATTCATAAACACACCGTGCAAATTGGGACACTTAAAAGTTCACATTTATATAATTACATAGAATTTTGTCTTATTTAAATTAAAATTGGAATTCGATTGCGCTGCCTTTACGGACACTTGCGCTCCACCTGGCTCTTGCCGGCCTCCTCGTACTCCTGCGACGATATCCACATCTGCTGAAAGGTGCCTATACTGGCCAGGATGGATCCGCCAATCCAAGCTCCAAATCTTCGCTCCACGCTGCCGTTGGCGGAAATCATTTTCAGGCGCGTGTTGGAAGGAGCACGCAGCTGCAGATCGCGATTCAGGCGCTCCGGGAAGCCTTGGAGAAGGGTATTGCCACCTAGGAACAGACATTGGGTGTATAGTTGAGGAAAAAATCTTTAGAGCTCGAATAAATTCCTACCAGTAACCACAACAGAGCCAAAGAGCGACAGACGCACATCCGCATCGCACATGCCCACGCTGGTGGACGCCAGTTGGCCAGCTCCCAGCATGGCGTTGTCGAAGAGACTCTCTGCTATCTTGAACCGCTCGGAGCCAAAGTCCTGGTGATAGCCGTTGGGAAACTCATAGTGCACGGTCGGGATCTGGGCGGCCACCCTTTCGTCGAAGGGGTTCTCCAGGACCTGCAGCACGTTCATCTGGAAATCCTGCATCATCAGCTGCAGCATGTAGTTCTGCCACGACTGCGTTAGGTTTTCGGGCAGCTTGCGCAGTGTAAAGCGTCCGTTGTCGCGCTCCTTAACGACATCCTTGGAGGCGATCTTGTACACCGGCGACAGATCGATGCCGTGCTTCTCTAGGTGCTGGCGGCACTGCCGGGAAAGAAAGTCGCCACCCAGCGGTGACTTGACCACCGCCTGCGACAGCACATAGCCCTCATGGACGGGAACGGCCGAGGTGTGGGTGGCTCCGCTGTCCACAACCAAAGCGGTCGCCCGTCCGCTGGAGAAGGCGGCCAGGACAGCGTTTTTCACCAGGAAGAAGGCCGGTACGTTGTACTTCTCAAACATGAGCTCGGTCAGCTTCTCGCGGTTGTTGCGCACGTTCCACGAGGCCTCGGAGAAGAGCACGGGGTGGTATTCCGGCTCCGATTGGATGACATTGGCGTAGGCGTAGTCGATCACCTTCTCGAACAGGTCCCAGTTGTCGATCATGCCGTCCTTCATGTAGGTCTGCACTTCCATCTGGGAGCGGGGCACATTCACGTAGTTGGTGTCCACATAGAACTTGCGCTGGTCAGCGTCTGATGGGGATTAGAGGAAGGTTAGGGGTGGTTTAGGGTTGAAGGGCCCGAAATCTGTGGAAACTCACTGTTTGGCGTGGCATTATTGTCCGTCTTGGTCTCTGGATCGAGGTTGGTCTCGGGAGCTGCTCCAATCCCCACAACCGAGGGAATCTCCGCCTTGGGCGAATCCTCCTGCGCGTAGCCAACTCGCAAGGAGTGGTGTCCGGGGTCGAAGACCAGGGCGCCGATCTCGTCGCCGCCATACAGCATGGTGCCGCCACTCATCTTGGCGCGTTACAAATACTTTTCCTCGCGATTCGTACGAGATTTTCCGGAAAAAGTCTGTTCTGTGTATATTTTGCGGCTTTTTTCACGACGCTTCTTCCACGCTGGTGATGGCCGATAAGCTATCGATTATTTCAGCGCGGCTGTCTATCGCTTCTGTCTGTCGAGTATCGATTGCTATTTTTCAAACAACTGTCATCTCTACTAGTTTGGCTTGCAGTCCCAAAAAAAAATTGTAAATAAATTTAATTAAGCCTAATATCTTTTAAATACACTTCTGTTGCGGACAATGTGGTGAATTGGGAGACAAGAAAAAGACTATACTGTACATCAGAGGAACAGCATTACTTACGGCGTGAGAACCCCTGAAAAACATAAAGCTATCTAAAAATAATGATATTCTTTATAACCCTGAAGATTCAACATGAGCACCGACAGCGCTGAGGAGACGGGGAGCCACGCCAACATTCCCCAAATGGAGATCAACATATCCAACACGAACTCCAAGGGCCAGGTCGTTTTGAACGATCTGCTGCTCATGGAGCTGCTATGCAAGTACCCCTTCCTCTTCAGATGGCAAGGGGTCCAAAAGGACGAGGACTACGACTCCTGGGGATGGGGGCAGGTGGCCAAGACCTTCAATCAGAGCTACGAGGGCGTCGAGCTGAAAGCTCCGTTCTCCGTGAGTGATCTGCAATGTCGGTGGAGGAACTTGTTCTCGCTCACCGACGCCCTGGCCAAGGCCAAAGGTCAGATCCCCGATCCCTTGTGGCGGGTGGTGGTTGATGTGCACTGTCGGATGCATGCGGCGAAAAAACCGGTTTTGCCGCGGACCAAGTGCCAGGACTTCTTCCTCGGTCAGCTGCCCTTCCTAGAATCTCTTTCGGTGTTGGAACGCCGGCGCTTGGAGGTGGAGGTGCTGGACCTCATCCTGCAGCAGGAGCGCGTGGAGAAGGCAACGCACACCATGGGGCCCAAGGAGCAGGCGGCGGCCCAGAGCGAATACGACGAGTTCCTCAAGGCAATTCGGGTCAAGGAGCTCCCGGCCGACACTTTGATGCGCCTGGCGATGGACGGATTCTGCATTACGCCGCACACGACTCCCAAGGTCGTAAATGCCAGTAAGTCGGATATGGTGATTAGCAATGTGCGCGGTGGCCAGCGTGTCAGCAATGGATCAAAGGACGTCGCAATCAAGGCAGAGCCCACGGATGACGCTGCTAGTGCGGCTGCCAAATCGACCGGGAAACCCCGCTTCGTGCCACTAAAAAGCGCTAAATACTACATTAAAAAGTGTCGCGTTCGGGTGAAGCGACTGGACCTTGACGACCACCTGCCACTAGCTTCCATCCGACGATCCAATCGTTCTACGCCGAAAATTTGACTTGGTTTCGTATCAAATGCACATAAGTTTATTAAAAAATACATTACTATAAATTACAACTTAAGGCTATTGTATAATCCGAATCGCATTATTAATTCGCTTGCTTTGCATTCTCAAAGAACTAACAACTAAACAAACAAGGAGCGGGGCGCGGGACAGTCTAGAGAACTGGAGAGCGGGTTAGCCAGGACAGGACAACAGGAGGGCGACAGGAGTTGTACTATGCACGTTGTCCGGGAGCCGCCGGGTTCGTTCTATGCTTATCAGTTATCAGTTATCATTACACAATCGTCAACAGTCACTAAAGAACGCAATTCAACAGGTCTATACGTTGGTGGAAAGCGCAGCACTTAACAAGAAACAAACAATGTGGGCGACAAAAACTAACAATCGGTCAAAGCTGCTGCTGCTGCTTCCTCAGAACAGTTGGTCCGCCAGGTTGCCAATAAACGTGGCCAGGTTCATGGAGGAGCCCTCCTTGAATTTCAGTCCAATCGTCTTGCCGTAGGCTTGTATGAAGATGGCGCGCACTGCGTTCAGGCGTTGCTTTCGTCTGCAAAAGTTGGATAAATTCGTCACATTAGTTAGGATCGACCAGGGTTAGGAAGGATTTATTAAACTCACAAGTTTATGCATTGCTTGCTGGCCATCGTGCTGCCGCCCAGGTCTTTGGAGGAACCATTTGCAAAACCGTGCGTTGAGCTGCCATTGCTGATGCTGCTCCCACTTCCGCTCCCGCTGCCGCTCGATGCCGGGTTGGTGCTGCAGTGGTAGCCATTGCCGCCATTGTACAGAGGAATGTTCGAGGAGCCGCCAACGTCGGCCGCCTGTTGAGCCACAAACCGCATCATGTAGCTGCCGTTCATCATGGAGTCAATGGAGCCCGTGTCGGTGACCACCTGCCAGCTGCCATTCGAGGATGTGGACTCCTGTCTCTGCCGCGCATTTGATCCGGGCACTGAAATGGGGCTGGTTCTGGATCTGGAAGAGAGGATTGAACTTTAGCTAGGTTCTTCTTTTAGCAAGTGTCCTTTTACCTCTTCGGGTTGGGCGACCTGCTGGTCAGCGGGTTGACTTGCGCTGGCGTGGTGGCATAGAAGTTATCTGTTATGGACATATCACAGTTGGAACAGTTTGAGTAGCTGTCGTTACTATCTTGATCGAAGGCCAGGATGTAGTCTCTGCAAGGCAAATCAACTCATAAAACACCCATTCAAATGCAATTGCCGGAAATACTCACTCCTTGAGCGGTTCATCGTCGCAGCAGTCGGATTTGATCACTATGACACTGCTGCCGCTGCTGCTGGATGTCTTGGTGCGCTTCCGATGCTCCACGATGCTGTACTCCTCGTCCGTGATGAACTTGAGCACATGGAAGCAGAAAAACATGATGTCCTCGCCCCGTTTCAGGCGGTCGGGCAGTTGATGGCCAAACAGGTACCAGTCGTAGGCCAGTGTGAAGTACGCCATTTGCATGGCGTTCAGCGATTGGTGGATGAGTCCGTCTGCCCACAGCGACAGCCTGACCAGGGAGACGAACAACGGAGTGCGATCCCAACCGCTGATGCAGTGGATCAGCAGGCCGGAGCTCTCCTCCTGCACGTACTTGAGGGTGGCCCTCAGGTAGTTCTGGGTGATGGCCACCAGATCCCAGTCCCGGTACTCCGGCCACACCACATCGATATCCGCAGCGGGTCCCATGTTGGGAATGTTGATATTCGCATCGTTGAACGACTGCTTCCAGTTGTAGTGCAGGTTGCGCGCCATGTAATTGTTGTCCCGGAACTTTTTGAAGAACTCACAGCCGGGATACGGGAGGGATAGAAGATTAAAGCTCTTGTAGTGCTTGTTCGGATCTGCCTTTTCGGATGAGGAAACGCTGTAAGATGAAGTCGTGGGATTACTCTCGTACTTAGAACTCACTATCCCAAAATGTACTCACGCCATAAAGTATTTGATCTTTCGGTTCTCGACCATGAGGTCCACGATGGTGGACACGTTGAGCGTGTGGAGTAGCTGGATGTCACTCTTGATGACCTCGTCGTAGCTGAACTGTGACTGCGCCTGGTCGTGCATGTGAGTGATCAGAGACTCGTCCGTGGAGTCGGCGTCGTTCTCCTCTCCGTTTGGCGCCGTGTAGTTGCCGCCACTCAGACAGTCGTAGGCATAGTCCACCACCTTCCGGCCGTAGGTCTCCGGCATCACGGACAGGGTGGCCGACCGGCAGATGTACTTCCCGCGGTACATGATCACGGGCACGGCGAATCTTTGCCGGCATCGCGCGTACTTGGCCATCGTCACCAGTTCCCGCATCCGCTGGATATCGTACTGGTCCTCGTAAATCGTGTTCTGGGGTTGCTGTTGCGGTGGCTGCTGTTGCTGCTGCTGGAGAGGATGTGGCTGCTGGGAGGGGTACTGCGGGTGGAGGGGATGTGGCTGCTGAGAGGGATATTGCTGCTGGAGGGGGTGCTGCTGCTGTTGCGTCTGCAGGGGATTGGCAAAGGTCACAAAGGCCTGGATGCCCACACCCTCGCTTCCGGTGCTTCCTGCACTGCTGTTCAGGGGCGTTGTCGTAGCGGTGGTTCCGGAGGAGCCTCCTCCACCTCCTCCTCCTGGTAACCCGCCGCCAACTGGCCCAAACAGACCGTTCCCCGGCACCAGCGTCTTGGCCATGTGCCCGTGCTCGCATTCTGGGATGAGTATTCGGCCAGGATAGCGCGGACTGAGCAGTCCGTTCGTGTTATCCAGCTCGATGAGGCTGTAGTCGAGCTTAAACAGGTATTCGCATTTCTTGGAGATGTCAAACTCCTGGAAGAAGAGCAAAGGTCGGGATGACATTAATATGGAGTTTTTGCTTTTGGAAATAACAAAGCTGGAAAAATTACAAGAAAAAGAACAAATATTCAAATTATTTCCAAATTTCTGGATAAAAAAAAAAAAAAGTTGATATAATTTTTTTTTTTTAGGAGTCAAAGATTTATTGGACTTTGGATCGGGATTTTTAGTGTACATTAGGTTGTATTTATAAAAAATAAGGCTTTAATTTGGTAGATCTCAGACTCAGGTAGGTGTGGTTTCCAAAACACTCATGCACTTAATCATTGTGTTTGTTTTTCAAGTAAGGATTTCGTATAATGAGCAACGCTAGCCTTTTGAGTTGTTAGTCAAGTAAAACCGGGGATATGCTTCAGCCCTAACAGCTTTTTTAATAATTCATGATTTTCTATATTTAGAAAGAATTAAATGAAGTGTTTATCTCGACTGGACTGAGTAATTGGGACCAACGGCAAGCGAAACCTCTAGATTTTAGTCCCCCGATCAAATTCATTTGAATCACAAGATTTTTGGATTTTTTCCTCCTACTCTAGGCTGTCATTCAAGGGTTAACTAATTACGGGGACCGAGGGGTTCTGTTTGCCAAATCTATGATCTGATCCCTTACCAGTGACCCTTAACTGGCTGTACCCAGTACACCCAGTGACTTCGATCAGGCTTCTACATTTAAAGTATTTGACGGGGCGGTGTGTAAAGTCAAATGTTTGCATAAATCAGCGATGCCGGCGTCGCGTCTTAATGGGCAGCGAGATTAGAACGCGGACTGCAACTGGTTTTCATGCATTCTCAATGTGTGTATATAGACATTCTTACCCCGAGTTCAATGGAACTTGAACGTTCCCGGGAAGGAGAACTGGAATCTGGAATCGGACGGCTTCGACTGGCTATCAACTCAAGGGTTAAACGAGATAAGCGAGGGGGAAGTAATGGCCAAGTTACAATACCAATTAGGCATCTAGATAATTGTTTAATACAGAGATACATATTGGAAAAATGATTATATTTCATTGGCAAATTACGTTAAGCCTACAAGCCCATTCAATTATTTTAATGTATATACATAAAGTATACATAACTTTGGAACAGATATGTGTATAATATAAAAAACTTAATATAATTTATTGGATCACCAGGTCTTTGAGCTTATTCTTTCCTCTTTCAACTAATCACTTTAATCAAACATTATTTGTCAAAATCGTATACAAATGAAAACCTCTTTGTTTGTGTGATAATCGACAAATTATCTAAAGGTTGTTGTTTAGACGGCTAAAAATAAAAAGAGGCCAGCAAAGGGGGCGGTGGCGGCGGATGGTGGGCGTGGCCCCCAGCCAGCTGTCCCAGACAAACAACTACAACCAGATAAGAGCACAAAAATAATAACAACTACAAAATACAACCACGTCCATATCGCACAAGCAAAAACACCTTGAGGAAACAGGTTTTTAGCTCACGAAGAGAAATGTGCAAATAACAAAATAGAAAAAAAGAAAACTATAAAAAGACAAATACCAAAGCTGCGCAAAAATCAGCAACAACAAAAGCGAAGCAGCGAGCAAAACAAACCCGATGAAAACTTAGTGGGCCGTATGTGTGTTCGTGCGAAAAACTACTAAACACACACAAGTGCACAGTGCGAAGCAAACGAGCAAAACAACTAAAACGCAATTACAATTACCAACAAAATGCCGACGGGAAGACGCAAAAACAAACCACTGTTTATGGCATTTGTTTGTATTTTTTGCCCACTTTAAATTGCATAAGCAAACCATCTAAAATTATATAAAATGTTAAGTTTAGGCTCTCTTTGAAAAAACAAAACAAAATCGCAATAGTCGCCAATCTTTCTTTTTGTTTTATTTACTGTATATTTGACTATTGCTCTCAATTATATCGAGTGTTCGACCAGCTGTGTTGTCCACTTGACTATTTTATTAAACTAAAATTCGCTATTTTAGAGGTAACACTCCTAAGGCATGGCGTCAAAGTGTGTCAATCATACGAACTGTTGACTATTCAAAGGGAATACATATATGCGTATAAGCAGGTGGCATACATTTTTAGTAAACATATGTTACTTTTAAAATTTATTTCAAGGAAATCAAAAGGTTGACAAGGATGTAAATGGGAAACCGATTTTATAAAAATTGTATAGCTGGCATACATGACGGATGAGTAATTTGTTTTGGAAAATAAGATCGTTTGCACGCTTCCTAATCAAAAATTGCTAAGTTTTTAGAAAGGTTTCTTGCACACCAAAATCTACCGAGTTTGGGGTGAGCATAAGATTATACTTTTTGGCGACCAAAATAGGAATCAAACTCAAACTTTATAGGTGTAAATTAACCTTATGTTTTAGTTTTGATACATTTTAGTTTGGAAGATAGCTTACAATGAAGACTAGAACTGCGGTTTTAAAACTGAACATTTCCTTAAAAAAAAAGCTAAAAGCTTGTTTAAGTTTATTATTTCTACCACTATTGTTAACTAGTTTTAAAAAAGTTGTAGCTTTTTTGTACGCTACTCTTGTCAACACTGCTTGCCAGTTGAGAGTGGGAGCCGAGCGAGAGAGATGGGGAGTCGAAACACAAAAAAAACCCATCGATGCTGCGCGAGTGTGAGTGAGCTCCAAGTTGGAGACGCTGCCGTTACAAAGCACAAGCACAAAGAGCACAAAGCGGTTACTGTTGTTGTTGCTGCGTGTGCATCGAACTGCTTGCTCACTGCTTCTGTTGCCGTTGTTTCGTTGTTGCTGCCGCGTTTTCTTTGTAAGCGACTGCAACTGTAACTGCAGCCGCGCTGCTTGAAAAACTGAGCGCCTGTTCCAAAGGCGCTGTAAAACTTAAAAACAACAAACAGACGCGCGCTGAAATAGTTACAGCGTGGAAATAGTTGGCGAGCGTTGTGATCATTAAGCGGCCATCATCATCAGCATTATCATTATCGTTTTGCATCATCGTTGACCCAAATAGTGAAACTTAACCGAAGGCTGGCTCGCAAGCCGAGCTTGCCTCACAAACCCGGATTTTAAAGACTCTGCCGATGCTGGGCCACCAGAAATCCAGCAGAAGCTGCAAAGTGCGACACACTTTTCTTCTCTCACAAAAAAGAAGGAAAATAATAACAAGAAATAAACGGAAAATAAAACAGAAAGGCTGAAAAAACTGAACAAAAACACAAAACACACAGCACAACGGCGACAGCGACAAGAAACCGCACAGCTGAAAATAATCGCATCGTACTCGTGCAATCGAACCGAGAAAACCACCAACCGAACCGAACCAACTCGACCAAGCACAGGGAACCAGCAAAAGAAAAGAGTGGAGACGTCGCCCACTGAGTACAGTCCGCCTTCTTTAGCGCCGACTTATAGAGAGTTCCAATTCTCACCATTCATCAGGGATAGCTTGTTATAAAAGTAACCAATTTGTATCCCAGTTTACTGTATTACCATTCATCAGGGATAACTTGTTATAAATGTATCCAATTTGAATCCTAGTTTAATGTATTACCCAACTTAAACCTTAGTTTGATCTGCACTATTCTATTAATATGTTTTATATACTCATAACTCATTTCTTTTGAAGGTTGATATATAAATAGGTATAGGTATATATGCATATACATAGGTACCTATGTACTATATTTTTAGGGTCCTTACTCGTTCATTTTAGACCAACAGAACCAAAGTATCAATAGTATGTATAGTACATATATAGTATGTATACTTGAAGATACTCTAGCTCTAATACTTTGAACTTCAAAGAGAGTTACATCAATAAAGTGTCCATCTCTATGTAATTTCGATTTATTCATTGTTGTGCCTACTATTAATAGTGGTTTTGAGAGACTAGACATGTTCGTCTTACATTATTTAGACTGTATTAGCTCGAGCTGCTGCTTTGACTCCAGGCTTTTTTTCGGCTAATAAACAACCTGAAAAGCTGCAGGAGGCCCCTGTGCAACCCACACGTTGCATATTCATCAAACCGCCGGCGACAGGGAAATGGCTTTTCTTGAATGAAAATGAATTATTCAGTGCTCGAACTAAGGCTCAAAACTGGGGCCACTGACCACACCCAAATGACGGGGTGTTCCGCATTTAATTCTCGTTGTTCTTGTTTACATGATTTATGCTTGCGCTTTAAAATGTGCAGCGTGTTGTTCCAGAGCCGCTTTGCTGTTGTTTTCGTCGGCGTTCAAAGACCCCCAGATATGAAAACAAGTTGCGCCCACGCTTCAAACTCTGAATCGGGACTGGGATCAGGTTCCAAATCAAGGCGATGGATACGAAGGCAGTACAGTTCTGCGGAGATTTTTTAATATTCCATGAGTTCCGTTTTTTGTTTACCATTAGAAAATATGTATACTTCCTATCATATAACTAATAAAGCTTTGTTTTCCATCACCGATCAAAGTTTTCTTTGATTCCTTGAGTTAAGGCTTATCGCGTCTAAAAGACTTTGAGAAATACTTTCAGATACTAAGATCCAGAGCTATAATCCGTATTTTTAGGTTAGGAAAGAAGATTTATAAAACTCGTCTCTTTCTTTTGTTTCTTTTTCATAAAAAACTCTTTTTCATCTTTTCTTCCTTCCCCATTATTTCAGCTAATCTTTGCGATACCCACCAGCATTTCTCTTAATTTATGCAATATCATCCACATCAATAGGATTTATTAATGAGGTTTTAATATGCAAATTGTCGGTGCAGTTGATTTGCTTTATTCCTCTAGAGTGCATAAATACCACTCGAGATAGTGCGGAACAACTTTCGAAAGACATTGAAACCGCTTTGTGGGTGATATGTCGTGTGCAGATGGAGCCAGGGGTCTAAAAAACACGTTTGAGCCGGAAGTTTTTCGCCGTGTCGAAGAGCCCAAAGATTTTTGCTTACTACCCCCGCATAAAGCACATCAAACACATCGCAATGGCAATAATTGAGCGCAATAAGTGACATCCAGCCAAGTGGGCGTT